CCTCTTATTCGAGCCTTTCACAAATATTTACTGAGTCCTTACTATGTGTCAGACACTGTTCTAAGTACTATGGATATAATGGTGAATAAGATGTTGTCGTTGCCTTCAGCAAGTTTATAGTTTAGTGGGAAAGACTGGCAGAAGCAACACAGGGATCTATAAGGACATCACGGGGGGCAACGGGTGTAATCAAAAGAGCAGTGTACTAAGAGCCAAGAAACCTCATCTATACCCAGTTTTCCTACTGTTCTAACAGTCTACAATTCAGTAAGCCAGGTTCCCTCTTTGGGTTTTAGTCTTCCCATCCGTAAAACAAAAAGGTTGGATAAGATGGTATTTACAGTCCTCGTCAGGCTCTAAGAGTCCATGTTCTGAAAGAAGATAACAAAACAGCAGCAATGCTCACCAAAGATTTATCACGTGCCAGAAATCTTTCTAGTCACCATTTACATAAGACACAATTTTTGTACTAAATGGTAGTACTGGTATTATTGCATCACTTTTTTTTTTTTTTAATTAGAAAGAGGGTGGCTGATTTGATTATATTCCTTTGTATGATTATATGCTATTTCCAAGAAAAATCTGAAGTGATTTACAGTAAAAATACATAAAAACTGATTCTTAAAGACTAAATTAACATGTGGGAAGTGAATAGTAAAAATTATTTTTTTTTAAATTATAAATGTTGGAAAGTCATGGTGACTGAATTAAAAATTTTGTCCTAAACTCCCTGATAGCTAAAGCAAAGAGGAAACTGCAACTGGACATGTAACTCTTAAAAAAAAAAAACACTAGCTCAACAAGAGAAAGTTTTTCTAGGCTGAGCTTTAAGAAGAATTTCCCATCAAGTTTTTTGTTTGATTCTGGGTGACTTGTGGTTTCGGGTAGAGGGGAGAATGAGGAGTGAATGGAAAGGAGGGAAGGAGAGAAAAAAAGAATGAAAGACTGACAGTTTTTCTGGTATTGAAAGTAAAAGTTTAACTTTACAATAATATATCCTACTAATGTTTCAACTTAATTTTTTTTTCAATTAACAAATATTTTGTGATTAACTTAGAATTAACTATTACTTTATCTGTCTACTTGTAAGAAGTTTCATTTCCAAAGGGCTGTAGAACTTTATTAATATGGCTGCAAAGCTCTCTTTACTTTCAATTTTCCAAATGAAAATAAGTTGAACTGCTGTTCACAGCCAGAATCTATTGATCCTATCAGTTATGCCTATTCACCCTTACCTCCATGCTTCTGGGCTTCAAAAAGAAACTTTCATTAAGTAGATGAGTAAAACAAATGGCAGATTCATTTAATTCAAACACAGATGCAAAAACTTTAAAATTATATATGAACTCTCTTTAGGAAAAGAACTTGCAGACAAACAAAACCTACTCTTTTGTTGTTTCTTAACAGATAGAAAAAATGCATTTTAAATATCAAAAACTATGAACAACACTAATTCTGTTTTAATATATTCATATACTACATCTTGTTGTCAGCACAATTTCATATTGTTTTACTAAGTATAATTTGGAACTGAAACTTAGTATTTTCTTATCTAAGGGAAAAAGCATATTGACTAAGTAAGACATGCAAACCACAGTATTATCATAATAGATTGTCCAATCTAAAGTTTCCACATCAGCAAACCATTTCCTAAAAATGTAACCTTATCAACTAAACCCAATTACGTGTTGTAATAACTGTACTACTAATTGAACTCAACCTACAACCTTGGTTATTTGGAAAAAATGAAGTGTGAAGTCCAGAAATGTGTGAATACAAACAATTCTTAACTCTCAAATGAATATTTTCCTATAAATTAGTCCTACTGTGGTTCAATGATAGGCTAAGGGCAAAGGTGGGTAAGAAGCAGGAAAAGAAGATATATTACATATGTTCCAGAGCCACATATAATAAGGCACAGGCTTTTCATTTTGCCCTTCAGAGAAGAATTTCCTAAGTCTTTTGGTAGGCATTTCTAAGTAATGATATATTAACCTGCTACCTGCTTCAAAAGAATGAACTACAAGGGTAGAGGCTAGAATTGGTGGTAACTAACTCACCTGTTCAATTTCTATTCCAACAAATTAGGACAATTTGCCCTTGGTATCATATTTGGATTTTAATATAAATTTTACTTTTTCTAAGTCATTTCAAATTATGAGATATTAATTAACTAATTGGAGATTGCCTAAAGCAACATTTATTAGCTTCCAATCAGTTGCCATCAAGTCAATTCTGACTCCTGGAGACCCCATGGGTATCAGAGTAGACTGTGCCCCAAGGGTTTTCAATGACTGATTCTCCAGAAGTAGATCACCAGGCCCTTCTTCAGAGGCATCTCTGGGTGGCCTTGAACCTCTAAGCTTTTGGTTAGTAGCTGAGCGCATTAACCATTTCCCTACCCAAGGACTCGTTTATTAGCTTCAGGGTGTATTTATTATGACCTGATTGGAATAAGTGATACGATCTTTTCTTTCCAGTAGATCTCTTATAATCATTAAGCTATGTCTGCTATAAATAGAAAAAAAAAATTTTGTCCACACAATTAGCAGTTGACAGTTCTTAGCCATGCAATCTTGAATATTTTTAACTTCAGAGGGCACTTCAAACTCATACATACAAGAGTCCCATTTTCATCATAAATGGAAAGGACCTTACTTAGTGGGTCCTGATTAAATCAATCAAGCCTAAGTGGCTACGATACAGTAGCCATTCAGTAAATGTCAAATGGGTAAATAAATACCCTGGGAAGGGGCCTTCCTGGAAGAAGGAGCTGCCCATACCTAAAGAAGGGAAGGTATTTACAGAAAAGGGAGGTTTAGTGAATTTTACTCTCAGAAATAACAAGAAAATCAGACTGCTCCAAAAGAACATATAGAAAATGGATTCAGAAATAGAAACTACATCAGGGGTCACAATTTATAAAATTCTTAATCCATTATACAAAATGGATTCAGAAACAGAAACTACATCAGGGGTCACAATTTATAACATTCTTAGTTTCTTTTCTCATATTCACTAATGATTATCAGTAAAAGCCTTAAGATTAAAAGGGTCCAGGTGTATTCATACGGGAATCAAGAAAAAGAAGTCTATTACGTAGTGCTGGGGCGGGAGGGGGAGACAGGAACCCTAAGGATTAGGGTAGGTAATGCTAGCTTTAAACCAAAAAAAAAAAAAAACAGCAAACTTTGGTAGATTGTGTCTTTTCATCTCCGTATTAAAACAGTATGTCACATAGTAGCTGTTCACAAAATATCTTTTGAAGAAACGAATGATTCCATCTTTCCTCCCTTTCATCTACCCCATCTACCTCCATCATCCAACATCCATCCATAACTCCCTCCCTTCCTCCAAGTATTGCATGATTGTCCACCATTTTGTTAGCTCATGTGATTTTCCCATGTGTTGTAAATCCTACCTCTATGATGTTAATGAGACAGGATCAGAGGCAGTTACGTTAATGTGGCAGGACTTAATCTACAAGATTAGGTTGTATCTTGAGTCAATTTCTTTTGAGATATAAAAGAGAGAACGAAGCAGAGTGACAGGGGCATCTTATAGCACCAAGAAATAAGAGCCAGGAGAATAGTGCCTCCTTTGGACCCAGGGTCCCTGTGCCGAGAAGCTCCTCGACCGGGGAAGACTGATGACAAGGACCTTCCCCTAGAGCCAACAGAGAGAGAAAGCCTCCCCCTAGAGCTGGCACCCTGAATTCGGACTTCTAGCCTCCTAGACTGTGAGAGAATAAATTTCTCTTTGTTAAAGCCATCCACTTCTGGTATTTCTGTTATAACAGGACTAGATAAATAAGACAGAATTTGGTACTGGGGGTGGGGGTGGGGGGTGCTGCTCTGACAGGTATCTAAAATGTGGAAGTAGTTTTGAAACTGTGAATGGACAGAGGCTGAAGAGTTTAAAGTGCCTAATAGTAAAAGCCCAGATTGCCTTGAACAGACTAGACTGGTGGTAGAATTATGGACATCAGACAATTCTGGTGAGGACTCAGAAGGAAATGCAGACAGCTATTACACTGGTGATGGTACAAATGGCGACAAGCAGCAGCACAGAAATGGCAGGAGCAGAACCAGGAGACCAGCACGAGACAGGGCTGGAGCCGACCCGAGGAGGGAGAGAGCTGAGTGCCTTTGCACAGGAGGCTTCCTGGCGGAGTGGGGTGCCTCCAAGCACTTATAGGTGGAGCTAAGGTTGCCAACCCACAGAGCAACAGAGCTGAGTGCCTTCTGGCCAAAGGTTACTGGCAGAGTAGGGCTAACTGCCTTCATGAACTACTACATCTTTTGCCATGAGACCAGAAGAAATGGTTGTTGCCGATTACCATTAATGAACATTTTGATCAAGGACCCAATAGATGGATCCTGATCAAAAGGAGGAAAAATGTGGACCAGAACATCAAATTCCTATGGAAACCAGACTTACTGGATCCCTTGAGACTGTGGGAACCCCTGAATTTACTGCCCTGAAACAATCTTTAAACTCTGAACCAAACCATCCCATGAAGTTGTGTGTAAACAAAACAACTGTTTAGCTCAATTAATAACGGATGTCAGCCTTGAACATTTCAGTCTTTTAAAGAATTATCTATATGTGTTCAAGTTGACAACAACAACTCTAAAGCACAGATGAGAACTTTAAAGGGAACAGAGAGTGAAAGTTAACAGTGGTGAGACAATACGAGAAGAGATAGAATGGTGACACAATGTGAAGAATGTAACCAATGGCATTTATCTGTACATGCAGAACTTACTGAACGGGTTTATGTTTTGTGGTGTATATTTTCACCAAAAATTAAAAATTAAAAAAACCAAATTCAGGGCAGTCCTTTCTCCCTAACCCATATTTGAAAATCATTTCCCACCTCTTTTCTCTTCTTCCACGTCCCCCAAAGTAGCTGTAACAAACATCTTTGCTCCCCAGTCCCTTTTGTCTCATACCTCAAAATGAAAGAACCCTGACTGAATTCAGTATGAGTCTCTTACCCTGCCAGGAAAGTTAAGGAGTAGGAGTTGTTCTTGGAAACGAACGCCGAGCGATGTGTCTGTATCGTCTTGCCTTGAGAAGGTTCTTCGTTCTCTGAATCTGAGAGACGTGCAGGACACTGGCAGGGAGACAAGGGAGACAAGACTGTCCATTTGGGGTTATCATGGAATCTTCTCCCTAGCTATAGTTTCAGATCTCTCTATATGTCACCTGTCTCAGATCTATGTTTCTAATTGCCTCCTGATATCCCAATCTGGATATCCCAAATGTAGCCCAAACTCAATACATCCAAAATCCAACTCACTATCTCTCTTATCTAAACCCAACCACCAGTTACTAACTCCACCAACCCAGCCAGAAACCTCAGTGCCATCTACACTTCTTTCTTTTCCCTTACTGCTAAGTCATAACATTTGCATAGAGCCTTTGGGTACCCAACACTTGTAAACATTTTATTTCATTTACTCTTATATCAGCCCTATTAAGCAGGGATTATTATTGTCTATCTTTTACAGATGGCAAACTGAGGCTCAAAGTAGTTAATCTGCCTAGGACTATAAACTAGAAAACCTGATAGGGCAGTTCTACTCTGTCATATAGGGTCACTATGAGTTGAAATTGACTAGAAGGCACCTACCAACAAAAACAACACAGACCTAGTAAGTGGTTAAAACTGGTACTTAAATCCAGAGCTTCTCTCTCCAAAGTGCCTTCATGCTCTCTCCAGTATTCAATAATCAATTCTACTCCTAAAATGTCTCTTAAATCTAACTCTTCCCATATATACTCACTGTCATTGTGTTACTTTAGATTCTCATCATCTTTGGCGGGTCTACTGCAATAATCTACTTACTGGTCTTGCTTTCTCCAGGCTTTCTTTCCTCTAATCCCTCTCCATACTACCAAGAATTATCTTTCTAACACACAGAAAGAATTCTATCATTCACTTGTTTACCTGTTGGTGACTTCAGGATAAACTCTAAACACCTCAGCATAATACCATGCTTTTCCAAACTAGACCCAACCTTCTTTCACAGCTTTTCTCCCACTACTCCCCACACATGACGTCCTTCAGCTCTAGCCACAACCAAACTACTTTCTATTCTCCATAGGTAACATAGTCTTTCAAAACCTCTATGCTTTTGGATATGCTATTCCCATTCCATAAAATTCTCCTTCCCTGTTCTCTAACTGTAAAATACTCACTGGCTTTTTAGAGTCAGCTTAAATGTCACTTTCTCTTCAAAGGTTTCCAAATACTCCTAGAGTCAGTTTTTTCCATCTTGTCTGTACTCATTCATTTACCTTCATTTGTTTTTGGAGTTTCTTTTCAGAGTCTTTCATTTTAGATTTGGAGTCTCTTTTAGATGTACCTTTTGCATATAACATATAGTGAGGTTTTGCTTCATGATTCAATACGAGAGTCTTTTTCTTCATGGGTAGCAACTAATCACACTGAACTATAACTTCTTATTTAGGGGTCTGTCTTCCACTTTAGAAAATAAGTTCTATGAGAGTAAGGGATTGTCTTTTTTTCAATTCCCAATACCATCAGTAGGTAAACAAAAAAATGTCTAATCATTTAATGATTAACTTTTACCTAATTCAGTGGCAACTAACAACAAATAATCAAATGTTTGTAACAAAGTGAGAGTTGTAGGCATACATATGGTTCATAGTACCCGGCATTCCATAAATGCTTTGTTATTCTCTTGGCTTATAGGCACATACATACAAAAGGCTGTGTTTCTCATTGGTGAGCCTTTGAGAGTTGAAGGATTACAATTTACATAAAGCCTTTTTAATTGTGTAGGGTATCACTCTTTATAGAGCTCTGTCGTATAAAATATTCACCGGAGAAACTTTAATAGCACTAACCCATTATTGAATTTTATATATTCTCTTCCCAATTCTGGGAAAAAAGAAAAAGCTTTGATACTCATAGACCAACAGGGAATAAATAATGGCAATTTCTGTCTATACAGGCCTTCCTTCACAATCAATTCAGTACCAAGTAAAAGAGTGTTCAAATCCCAGCTCTACGACTTAGATAGCATTGTCATTGTGGGTTACTTTATTTTTCTGAGCCTCTATTTCCTCATCTGTAAAAGAAAGATGTGGTAAGTCACAATAAGCGACACAGATTGTGGTAAGTCATTAAAAACACCTAGTATACTAGCTAACAAGTAGGAGGTGCTCAACAAAAAATAGATTTTTGTTTGTATTGTATTAATTTAAATACTATTAATCTTTTAAGAAACTTCAGTATTATTATAACAGATATATACCAAGTTCTTTTAATTATTGAAAAGTAAATTATATTACAAATAATTAGTTATTTAGACAGAAGCTTCCCTGCCCCTCTACCTTTATACCCCGACAAAGCCTAGAATCATAAGATAGGAAAATGTTTACCTCTCAGTTTTCACCTTGGATAAAAATTAGTCTATAACACTATGGATTCTAAAATGGTATAAAGTAAACAAAAATGAAATCCCTAAACTGATATCCAAAAAATTAAAAGAATGATAATACCCAGAGTTGGCAACGGTGTGAGAAAATTAGTATTCATGTACTGTTGGTGGGAATATAGCTATATACAAGCTTTTTGGAGAACAACTGAGTAGTAATAAATACCAAAAGCCTTAAAAAGTATACTCCCTTTGACCTGGTCATCCCACTTCTAGTAGTTTATTCTAAGGAACCTATGAGACAGTGGTGTTTAAAATAACAAAATATCAACAGGAGATTAATAAAATACACTAGTTAAATAAATTTAAGGGTCAAGAATACCAGGAAACCATTAAATAATGATGTGGATTCTTTATCTACATGAAAAGACACCCATGATTTAGAGTTAACTAGAAAAAGTTTGTACACTGGGTTGCTTTTACTAAAAAGAAAAACAATTATAGTGTGTGTACATATGCGTTAAGAAAAGAAGTCTTGAGGAGTATTTACCAAAACGTTTATAGGGGTTATCTCTAGGTTGTGGGATTACAAGTAATTTTCACTTTCTGCTTTATAATTTTTGGTAAGACTATAATTGCTTTACCAAATTGTTTCCTAACAATTCACATGGTACTACTTCTACTATAACAGATCACAACAAATTAAACACTGTGACCATTTTATTTCCATTTCGAAAACATAACAACGATGATGACCTCTGTTTCTAGAATAAACATTTTTCCCTACACTATAATTCAATTTAACAAACGTGTAGACTTTAAAACAAATTTTTTTTTTAATGGCCAAAACACATTTTCCATACTCAACTAACTTACAGTCTAGTAAACAAATAACTGTAATGTAAGGGAGAATGAAATAAGTCCTGTAAAAATTACAAAGGAGACAGGGGAAGGATGATGGGAGTGGAGAAGCCAGTGATGAATCCCTAAAGGCTCCATGAAGGTGACAGCTTTTGAATTGGACATGGAGAGATGAGTACATGAGGTAATCTGGGGGTCATTTCATGAGATGAAAATTCAAGAATAAGACCGCAAGGAGGAAAAGCATAGATTATCTGTATGCGGGAAAGCAAACAGCTCTGCTCCCTAGAGTTCTGGGGTATAAGCAAGGATGGAAAGATAAGCTGGAATTATACTAAGGAAAGCCTTGAATGGTAGGGTGAAGAGTTTTCATTTAATTCCACAGGTAATGGGGAGTCAGAGGTACTTTTAGATAGGCGAGTGAAATAATCTCTAATCATAATACTCCCTATATAAAATATAATCTTTAAACTGGCTTTCCACAAAGACCACTTGAGCATCTCTTGGGTCCCAATTTAAATGTAGCCTTGGCTGAATTAAATAAAATTATCTTCCAACACCAAAAACTCTTAGGACATATTTAAAGCAAAATTAGAGCCATTTAAAAGTCATCAAAAATATAAAAACACTTCGGGAGCAAGGGAGAATGAAGAGAACAGTGTACAAGGAAAAAATCAGTCCAAAGGACTAACGGACCACAGCTACCATGGCCTCCACCAGACTGAGTCCAGTACAACTAGATGGTGCCTGACTACCACCACTGACTGTTCTGACCGGGATCAAAACAGAGGGTCCTGGCCAGAGCTAGAGAAGAATGTAGAACAAAATTCTAACTCACAAAAAAACACAGATTTACTGGCCAGACAGACTGGAGAAACCCTAAGAGTATGGCCCCCGGACAACCTTTTAGCTCACTGGTGAAGTCACTCCTGAGGTTCACCGTTCAGCCAGAGATTGGACAGCCCCATAAAACAAAACGGGACTAATGAGGCACAGCAGTCCAGGGACAAGGGCTAGAAGGCAGGAGGGGACAGGAAAGCTGGTGACAGGGAATCCAAGTTTGAGAAGGGGACAGTGTTGACATGTTGTGGGGTTAACCATTGTCATAGGGCAATATGTGTACTAACTGTTTAATGAGAAACTATTTGTTCTGTAAACCTTCATCTAAGGTACAAAAAAAAAGAATTATCTACGTGAGATCAAACTGACAACAGCAACTCAAATGGTTTGATGGGAAGCCTACGGGGCAGTGAGTTGAAGATAATGGTGATAGGATAATTTGGAAAAGGATAGTGAGAACAGCAGCACAACTGGAAGAATGTAATTGATGTCACTGTTGTACATGTAAAAACTTCTGAAATGGTGTTAACTTTGGCTATGTACATTTTCACCAAAAAAAAAGGTCCTCCAAGGTCGAGAAGGGAGAGTGCTGACATGCCATGGGGTTGTTAACCAATGTCATAAAACAATATGTGTACTGACTGTTCAGTGAGAAACTATTTGTTCTGTAAACATTCATCTAAAGTACAATAAATATATATATATATAAACTAACAGAAAAAAGGGAAAATCACAAAAACCTGAAACTTGAAGTGTTCATACATCAGAGTTTATTCAATCTGTTTCTGCATAGAAAGTTTGGTGAAATTGGCTATTACCAATTAAAACAAATCTGAGAATTTGCACTTCCCAACTCCTTTTAGGAGCCCTGGTGGCACTGTGGTTAAGAGCTCAGGCTGCTAACTGAAAGATTAGCAGTTTGAATCCACCAGCCACTCCTTGGAAACCCTATGGGGCAGTTCTACTCTGTCCTATAGGGTTGCTGTGAAACGGAATTGACTTGCTGGCAATTTTTTTTTTTTAAAAGGGGATTCCTTATAAGATTAAAATTAAGCTGATGCACCTGATTTCTATTCTAAAGATGGTAGTGGCAAAAAATAATAACAATTTGAATAATTTCTCATCTTGACATGAATTAACAAAAGAGACTGCTTCCTGGATGGAGGGAACCTGGATCTGGCCAGGCCAAGAGCAGCAGGCTCTTTTTATTGGAGAACCATGGTGGAGGGTGAGCTCTCTCTGTCAAGATCGGTTGTCCTTTTTTGTAAAAGGGTCATTCTGGGCTATTTTGCCTGAGGGCCTTAATGGGCAGTCTTGTTGGGGTGAAAAGGTAGAGCTGCAATCTTTAAGAGACCATAGACCACAGCTGGGGCTACTAGTCAAGACAGACTAAATGCATAAGACCATCCTAGCTAAATTACATCATCTCTAGTAGCGTTCTTCTGCCTTTTGTAATTACCAACGTACAAAGCACTAACGAGTATACAAGCACTTCATGCTTGTTAAACTGAATCTTTTAGAAGGTTGAAACCCTGTAAAACACAAGTGATTATTTTAATAATAATTAAATAATAATCACTATTATTATTATAATAATAAATGAAATCAGAAAGCATGGGGGAGTCAGCAAATACTATTGATCCAAGAAAGCTTAAATAATTTCAATTTAGGAAAAAATGCCTTTACAAAGAGTAAATCAGAAGCACAGAGAAATTAAGCAACTTGGCCAAAGTTGTACAGTCAGTTACACTGCTGGGACCTGTCCAGAAAGGAAACTTCTGGTCCAGAGATTTTTTTTTTTTTCCTCCTCTATGCTGCCTGCCTTTATATATGAAAAAGTGTTATTAATTCTGGCTAATTAGAAAGATTAACCTGAAATATTAAGAAGCCTGAATCACAAAATATTTTAAAAGATATAACTCTAAAGATAATGTTAAATACACAAAGCAAGCAATAGCAGATGTTCAATCCAATATGACTCACTAAAGAAATAAAATTCAATTGTAATTATCCAGTTAAGTGTAATCAGTGGACCCCCTAAAACTACTTCCTTATATAAGTTAAATACACCTCTTACAAGCTTTCACAGTAATGTGCTTGGTAAATAAATAATGAAAAAAAAGTCAGGCAAGATTTGGCCCAACTAGAGGTCTAACTAGATTAATTTTAGACTAGGTTTCTAATCTAATATTTAGGACCTATCTTATATCTAGTACTGTATGCTTAGAACATTATAAAAAAATAAAGTAAAATACAAGCCTTAAGGAAATCTAGTTAAGGATATAAGATATATAAAAATTAAATGTCAAATAACAACACAAGAGTAAAAATGACAATACACATAAAAAACTTATCACAAGTTGCATACTATACTAAGTTTTTCCTCTCACTCACCTTTCTTTCTCCACTGTCCCCTGAATCTTCCCACATAGGTCTCACTGTCCCACTCATAAATTATTTTCTCCAGCTCTCATCTGGATGCTAAGCTCTTCACTATTCTTGAGCTGTGCAATCAGTGACTGTTACTGGTCTCATAATTCATAAACATAGGATTTTCAGATCTATGTCACCTGGGTCAGTTGCTGATTCTGAGGCAGATGTCCATCAAAAGGTGATCTACTTACACTTTCCAGATTTGATTTCAGTGCTAATGACTCATCTCTTCTTTTCTGTTCATCCATTTTCCTTTTCCCTGTTTCTGTATCCTCTGGTAACAGCTTGTGGCTTTGATCTTCAGAAGTTTTCTCCTCTTGTAACTTTTCTTCTCTCAACTAAAATACAAATTACACCAAGACAGTGGAGTTTAGGCAACTCTAAACCTAAAAACATCTTTTACTAGCAGTCTATCAGAACAAACAGATCACATGGCAGTTTGAGACTATTTTTCTTACTGGCTATAAAGTCCTCTTGATTTTAAAGTCTGCTTTTAGTCAGCTCTTGCCAAACATACGCTTCATGGCTTAAGATTTAACTGCTCTGCATTCTTGAGCAATATGAAACCATAAAAGCTAAGATACTACACATAATCAAAAAAATAAGGTTTATTCAGTCAGCCAAAAAAGTCTGAACTTATAAACTTTCCTTATTCTCATAAGCCAGATATAACTGCCTTGGATCAGAAGAGCAGAGATGAAGACCACAGACAGCCAGAGAAGCTGGGACTAGGCAAGACAGGTCTTTATGCCTTACTGGCAACAGAAAAGATGACTTTTCACAGTAACAATGCCCTACATATTATGCTATGCAGGGTCCAGAGGGTAGGTCTTGATAACAGTGTACAACGAAGTTTAAGGCAGAGGCATATGCTCCTCATTTGGGGGCAACAGGATGGCATTGTGAAAATAGCATGGGCTTTGGAATAAAAACCTGGGTTCCAATGGTTCTGTCACTTAGTTAACAGCTATATGATCTTGGGCAAATTATCATTTGCTTGCCTACAAAACAGGGATAATCCTACTTACTTTGCAGACGTTGTAAGGAGTGAGATAAGAATATAACGCACAGTACTGTCTTGCTGTGCATTTACAGTATATCATGAGTTCTCTTTACTTATCTCTTTTCTTCCCCCTTTACTGCCCAGAGTTTTAATAAAATTTAAATATGTCAAAGCAATTATAGGCTACTAATATTTCTAACCATTCTTACAAAAAAAATAGGCTACAGAAGAAATAACTATTGTATTTTTGATTACTCAGGGTTAAAAACAAAAACAACCACATAACAACGAACAACAATAAAGCTTTAATCTTATCTACCCAATTTATATAAGCCTGAACTAGTCTTTAACATATTGAGTCAATTCAAGAGATTATGCATATGCAAAGAACACCATACACAATGCTATCCTAGAAGATTCAAAGGAAATAGTGTACTCCCAACTGTGCCCAATTCAAACAAGAATGTAAGATGAAGAGCCGAGGAGAAAGCAAACCTGAGATCTATGCAAACTGCCCACATAAAAGTATCATGCCTTCTGAAGATCCTAGATGAGAAATTCTTGTCAACAACATGGCCACAGGCTACACAAAGGGACATTTCACTTTTAGAGGGATAGAGAGGCAGAGTGGCACAAGACAGAACAGGTTTTAGTGTCATAATAATTGCTATTATTTACTTAACTCTGTGTCAGGCACGGAGCTAAGTAGTGTACATACATTATCTCACGTAATAAGAAAACGAAGATTAAGAATTAAGCAACTTGTTCAAATTCACACAACCATAGGTTCTGGAGGTTGAATTCAAATCTTGGTTTATATTAGTGATTCTCATGGGGGTGATTTTGCCCCTCAGGAGACGTTTAGCAATGTCTGGAGACACTTTGGTTGTCCTAACCCGGGGCGGGGGGTGGTGTGCTACCGGCATCTACTAGGTAAAAGCTAGGGATACTGCTAAACATCCTAAATTCACAGAGCAGTCACATCTCCCCAATATATATATAAATGGATGTTCCTATTTTTTTAAATTAAATTTCCTGTTTCATGTTTTAGTGACATTTTGTTTAGTGATTAATGGTGTTTACATATCATATCCTCCAGCTTTTCTAATGTTTTAGAATATATCATTCTGCCTCCTAAAAAGTTTTATTGCTACTCTCAAAGTTTCTGACAATGGACCTCTTTTGCTGACAAAACAGCCTTTTCACTGCAATGGTGAGTCGTTGCTAATACAGCATCATCTTAACAAAGCCAAAATTTACAAAGGTGAAAAACCTATATATCCATTTGAATCCTCACGTGAGTTATACTGATGTTTTCTCTATACTGAGTTCTGTAGAAGAGTTATTTTTATTGTCCCTTTTGGCGGTTATTTATAAGAGTTCGAGAACTTGGTCTCTAGGAGTTTTTATACTGAAAAAAGCCTCAGGGAATGTCAGAAAGCATATAAACTTGAAAGAGAAATAGTTGCTGTTTGTCATTAAGTATTTGCTTTATATAGCTTATCTCATCTAATCTTTAAGAGCTCTGATGTACCTATTTATCATTACCATTTTATAGACATAAAAATTAAGACTCAATGGTTTTTTCCCAAAGTCAACAAAGATTAAATATTGAAGAGCTTGGGTTTTAGGAAATATCTTTGGCATCAGAAATCAAGAGTTTCTCAACCTCAGCACTTTTTTGGGCTGAATAATTCTTTGTTGTGGGAGGCTGGGCAGTGTGAGAAGAAGGCTTATGCAAGAATACTTTACTGCGGAACAGGAGTTAAGAACACGATAGTGTAACAGGGAAAGATGGAGTCAATAGAAAGGACTATAATCATTGGCCCAAGCTATTTAGGAGACAATATGAGAAACTGTATGAAATGATCTTAAGACTGTCAGTCTAAGGTGAGAAAAAGAGAAGCATATGCCTATTAGCTCCCACCTCTCATTGATGTTTGCCGCACAGGGTGTTAACACTATAAAAATGGCGTCTGACCACCTCTGACTTTACAAGGTGGAGAGAGAACCAAGATCAACAGCATCAGCCAAAGTTTGATTCCTACAGGAATTTTCCAATTCTGATGCCAGCCATCCCTCCCATGGCACTCTCTACTTCTCTGCTGGGTTCAACAATTAGTTGTAATCATCACACAGAACTCATAGACAATACTCATGATTACGGGGTTTATTAGGGAAGTAGCAGGTTACAATTCAGGATCAGAAATGACTCGGGATACAGCTCTCCAATCAAGACAGCCTCTTCTCAGCTGTGCCTGCAGGCAGGCCTCTCTTTCTGGCCCTCGGCCCCTTGGCCATTCGGCTGGACTCTGCCCTGCTTGGCCAAATGTTACAAATCTCTTTAGCTCCACCAATAAGTGTGCGGGGACAGCCTATTCCATCAGTAAGCCTTGGCCTGAAGATGCTCAGCTCTCTCACTCCGCGGGTTGGCGAGCCTAGCTCCAATGACAAGTGCCAGAGGCACCCCACTCCACTAGGAATCTCCTGCCCAAAGGTGCTCATCTCTCTTGCTCCGTAGGTCAGCACACCCACTGTAGCTGCCTTGCTCTGTGGGCCAGGAAGCCCAATGCACCATCCTGTAATGGTCTCCTGGTTCTACTGCTACCAGTTCTCTGCTATGCTTGCTGCCACTTCTCACCGTCTTACACCATCTCCAGCATTACAGCTCTCTGTCTCCTGGGTCTAAGAGGTTCTCAGCGTAGAAATCCTGGGTCCAAAGGACATGTTCCACTCCTAGCTCTTCTTGGTGGTAGTGGATCCCCTTCTCTGCTCCCTTCTCTCTCCTTTTTTCTTGTAAGATAAAAAGTATGACTCAAGTAAGGCATGACTTGAGTAAGGGTTGTAAGGGTGATGACTGGGGTAAGTGTGGTGACTTGAGTTACACCTCTAGTAAGGTGGTGACTCAAGATACATCCTGCCTCATTAACATAATGGACCATTCACTCCCCAACGGGACCATAACCACAGACATAGAGGCTAAGAGTCATAATATATCATAAAATGGAGGATAATTATATCAGATCACAAAACAGAGGACAATTACATCAAACCACAAACGCAGGAAGCCTGCGTTGCTACATAACTGACAAATTACATCATTACATAACTGCCAAAGCACTGAAAATCATGGCCCAGCCAAGTTGACACATAACCTTAATTACTGCAGGTTCCATATACCTTATTTGCGTTAGCAGCAATCTCTCCAATCCCCTTGGTGGGCCACAAGCACCTTATCTGCATAATCCCACCCAATCATTGTGTAACTATGTGACATAGTCTTTGTGTCTAGGACTAGAAGGGCCACATTAAGTAATTCACTGCACTGCAAATACCCTTTCACTTTGGCTTACGCAACTTGAGTAAGTTTCTATTGTGGGCACTGCAGCAGTGACCACAGAGAAGTCCTAGAGCTGAAGAGAAGACGCAAGTAGTAGGAGGTTGGACAAGGAGATCGCTGGTTGCACTGAAGTAAAGCTGCCTGCTACTATAAATGGAATGATTTTTTTTTTTTACTGCTTCCATTTACAGATGCTAATTACTAAAGAAAAGCTTCTGTACTTCTTTCTGTTCAATAATCTCATACTCAGTGATACTACCAAGAGTACCATGCAACTTTTTTCTGAAAATATATTTTGCCCTAATTTCTAAAAAAATTTTTTTATCAAAGTACAATATACATGCAGAAAAGTGTATATACATCATAAATGTACAGCATGATGAATTATACAAAATGAACACATCTGTGTAGCAACTATCCAGATCAAGAAACAGTACATCAACCAGTACCCTAGAGCTCCCTTGTGTCTACTCCTCACCCAAAGCTAACCACAATTCTGGCTTCTAACACCACCAAATTGCTTTATCTACTTCTGAATTTTATATAAATAGAATCTTACATGTGTATTGAATCTGTCTTCCTTCACCCAACATTCTATTTGTGAGATTCAGCCATGCAGGTACATATAAGAGTAGTGTGTTCCTTCTTATTGTGGTATAGTATTCCATTGTTTGACTATAAAACAATTCAACCATTCTATTGTTGATGGATATATGCATAGTTTCTAAATTTTGGCTCTTTGCAAACAGGCTGGACTATGTATCCCAGTACACATTTTGTTCTGCGGGGTATATTCTAGAAGAAAAACTGCTGAGCTATAGGTATAGGAATGTTCAATTTTTTCCAAATTGGTTGTACAAATTACACTCCTATCATCAGTGTAGGAGAATGACAATTGCTCCCAGCCTTGCTAACACTCACTATTTGTCTATTTTAGCCATTCAAGTAGGTGTGTATTGGTATTGCATTATGACTGTAATTTGCATTTCCTTGAT